TGAAACATGAAGGTCACATAGCACTGGGGAAGTGAAATAGCCAATGGAGTCACATGCAGCCAGATGTGGGTTGAGCTTTGCTTTCTGCTTCTGTAACTTATTTACAAGGTGTAGAAGGTGAGACCCCTTTGTTCTCGGGGCTCAGCCTTTGGACACGAGTCCGCTGGGTCTGTGCTAGCACAATAAAATGTTGTTTCCTGCTAATCTGCTTCAGAGACTCCTATCTCAGCTCATAATTTCCTGCAACATTACCACTTCTTCACTTTTCATGCCTTAATTAGGACATTTGCCCCCTAAACAGAGGGCGTGGCTCACTGCTCTGCTGCACTGGTTTCTCGCGTCCCGTGCTCTGTGCACAGCAATCTCCCGGAAGCAAGATGTGGTGGTGGCCTGTGGTCAGACTGCAGAGGGGAGACTCCAGAGACCCAGCAGGAGGACAGGGAAGACCTTGTGCCTCAACACGACTTTTTCAGGGGTGATTCATTGTCTGGGATGGAAGGACAACTTCGACAGTCCCTTAGGCCACCAGGTAGTGGCTCAGAGTTGGTCTGAGAAGAGACCATTAAGAAGGGAAGCCAGCGGAGGCAGAGGGCTTGGTCCTAGTAGCAGGGGGAGCCACTGGGCCATCCATGAGCCCATGTGTCATTAAGTTAGGACCTCTCTGTAACTAGACAGTCCAGCAAAGATGGGGTACCCTACCGTAAGGTAGAGAGTGCCGCAGAGACCTGGACTGGGCACCCTGCCACCTTTCGGGAGGTGACCTCTCACCTTGCCTGAGGTGCCCAGCCCAGGCTCATTCCCACCAAGCAGGAGTTTGCCATGCTGGGCTGGACACCGTGAGTGGAACAAGGATGTCCCAGGAGGGGCAGTTCCCAGGGGTTCCCAGGGACAGATCAGGGAGTGAGGGTCCCATATGGGGTCAGTCTGGGGGAGCCGTGAACATAGAAGTAAACCTAGCTGGAGGACATGCCCTCATGACAGGGACTCCTTTGCCAGCACACTGACATCCTCGGGGAGAACAGGAGAGAGAGGTTCAGAATTCACTCAACAAATGAACAGCTAGTCACCGACACCTCAGACTGATCTGGAAGTGGGAAGAGAGGCTGACGGGTGATTGGGGAGGAGCCAGGCACAGCAGATCTGCAGGGGACATCACAGAACATGGTTGACCACAACAGCAGGGCCACAGACTTCCAGGAGACAGGACCTTAGCATCCAGAAGCATGGCCACCAGTGACACTGATGACACCCTCGGCCCGTAGATACTGGCAGGGTCCTGTTGCTCAGGGAGCAAATGCTATCCCTACAGTCCTGGTTCTAGGGACTTCCCAGGCTTCCCACTGAGGCACTGGGATGTGCTCTCAAGGGCACCATGGCCCTCATCACCAATGACGAAAATCAGTCTGTCCATAAAAAGATTGACTCTGCATAGATGAGGCCCAGGTGGAAAGGCGGGTCCCGGCCTGGAGGGATATATCTCATCACAGACCCCTGGAGTTTGGAGAGGACCCCACGCTGGGTAAGCCCTTGACAGCTCCCCACCGTGCCCAATGCGGAGGGCATTTGGATTCTCAGGAATCTGGGCCAAGGTAGTTTCTCTCCTGATATACCACTAGAAACACCGGCCCTTGCCTCACCATGTCTGCCTCCCCAGCTGCCCTCCTTGGTCACTGGAAATGCGTGACATGACTGTGGGCAGATCCTGGCCTGTAGCCATGTCATTTGAACTATTCCAGCTGAGTGTTTGGGCTCCTCACTGTGTGGACAGAGACAACAAAGAAGTTTACAAGAGGGGCCAGGTAGACTCAGAAGGTGTCTTGGGTACGGGGACCTGGGGACAGGGAAGGGGAGGGCCGGCACTTCCTGACCCCTTCCTAAGCAGACTCTGGAGCCGCTAATTCCTATAACCTCCCAGAAGAGTGGAGCCCTCTCCCCCAGCCACCTCTCGGACCAGTTTGGCTTCCTGCTCTTTTTCCCCATGAAGCCATCATCCCCCTTTCTCTGGGGTTCCCCGGTGCATTAGGCAGAGGTGCTGCCTTTGCCCAACCTGGCCACACCCCACAGCTACCTCTGGCTCTGCTGGGGCCCGAGTGGGTGAAGGGCTTTCTTTGTATTTGCCATCTGGGTGGGTCCCCTTTCCTGGAGGCGCCCAGTAAACAGGTAGAGGTGAGGCCATTCGGCAGGGGCCTCTGAGCTGCTCCTCACTGGCCAGCACACACAGCTCGCTTCTTCCCGTTGTCTTCTTCCTCCGCTGCCAACCCCAGTCTGCAGGGAAGCAGCTATGCCCTACCTCCACAGGGCCCCAGGGCCCCCGGTACACCCAGTGCCCAAGGATGCCCGGGTCACCCACTCCTCAGGCCAGAGCTTCGAGCAGCTGAGGCAGGGCTGCCTGCAGACAGGCTCCCTGTTTGAGATGCAGACTTCCCTGCCAGCAACGCCTCTCTGTTCTACAGTGAGAGGCCTCAGGTCCCTTTCGTGTGGAAACGGCCAGGGGTGAGTGACGTGAGGAGTGGGGTGCAGGGGGCTCAGCAGAGAGAAGGTGGCAAGCCTCGGGGGGTAGGGGGAAGGAGGGCTGGGAGGGGTAGGCTACCACAGGTCACCTTCCGAGAGCTGCTGAAGGCTTTGCAGTGTGGAGACAAAGATGTAATGAAGGCCAGGGACGCTCTGTGGTGAGGCCAGGGTGTCTGGCTGCACCCCACCTCCACCTCCAGCTCCCAACTCCCACCAAGGTCAGGGACCTACGCAGACAGGGTCTTGTGTGTGGGCATGTGCAGGATCAGAGCTTTATCTAAAGGACAAATCTCAGGTGACACATTCCACCAGAATTCAAGGGCTGACAAGGGGGTGTTTCCCTAGTGTGATGATACCGGATGCCTGTGCCCTGCTGCGCCATGTGGATGGGTGTTTAGCAGCAAGTGTGTGACAAAGGGAGATGAAGCAGTGGTGCCCTCCCCTAAAGCTGTGCACCCCACTCCCAGAGGAGCCAGGTCAGGGCTGCCCTTTCCCCCGCAATCTGGAGGTGATGGCCCTGGGAGGTGCTTCCTGGGGCCTGGGGCATGATGCCAATATTTATAGCCTTGAGTTCATCAGGATTCTCCCTCCAACCTGGCATCATGGCTCTGCTCCTCTGGGTGGAGCCCCAGGTGGCTCCCAGGAAAACGGGCTGTGTGTGCAGGAGGGTGGTGCACAGGGTTGGACCAAAGGTGAGACCCTCAGTCTCCTCACCTGTAAAACGGGAACAGTAACAACAGGTAGGTTGGTGCCAGCACATAGAGCATTTCAGGGAATGACGGCTGTTCTGGTCTTGATCATCCTGTCTTTTGCAGGGCAGTGCCAGGCTCACCACAATCACCTCCTTGCTAAGCCCAACATTAAAGTAATCTTAACATGCTGAATACAGGCCTGTGTTTTTAGCACAGTCTATTTGGCCTTTTGTTTTTGTTTTTAGACAGGGTCTTGCTACCTCACCCAGGCTGGCCTTGAATCGTGATCTTCCTGCCTCAGCTTGCTGAGTGCTGGAATTGCAGGTGTGTGCCACACACCCAGCCTGGCATGTCTGTTTTTAAACCACCACATACACAGAACACCTAGGCTCTCCAGAGGCAAACCAACTGAGCTTTAATGTACGAAGTGGCGAGGTCCTTACTGCGATTTTCTGTTTAGGCAGAGTGGAATTTATTTATATGTGCGTGCATTGAGCAAATACTTACGTATGTTTTCTATGTGTGCAAATATGCATATGGTGCCATATGGGCACGTATGTGTGTGCATGTGTGCACTGTGCCTGTACCTCTGTATGCATGTGCACACGTGTCTTCTTGTGTGCTGCATGTGTGCACACATGTGCACTCCTGTGTACGTGTGCGTACGGGTCTGTGTGCTCTCGTGCACATAGCTGCACAGGTGTACTTTTGCCTCAGTCTCCATCTTCCAGGAAATGATCCTGACACAAAATGAAATATTAAGTCCTGACCAGTGCCTTATGGGTTGAGGGAGCCATAATGAGCATACATCAGCCCCAGTAAAGCAGGGCAAAGGCTCCAGGAGCTCTTCATAAAATCTGCTTAATGCTCTGTATGTGGCCAACAGCAGGGTGCTGTAGGGTGCTGTAGGGTGCTGTAGGGTGCTGTAGGGTGCACTTGATGTGTAAGACCACACTGCTGAAAAAGTAAAAAAGCGTGGCTCGTAGGACACAGCAGTGGCACCAGCCACAGCCCTTGGGTCTCCGAGCTCGCTCCCAGCCTTTGGCACACAGACAAATGGGTGTATGGGTGGCTGCCCCGGCTGCAGGCTGTGCATGCATTCCTACCCATGGGTCAGGGCTCCTGCCACTCAGGATCCCAGGAAACATTTGCAGAGAAATTGATGCTCTCAGCCCAGAGGGCCAAAGCCTGGCCTGGTCACCTCTGGCCCTAGGCAGCTTTCGCTCCTGCCCCAGGGTGCTGTGCGAAGACCCATGCTGTCTGTGGAGTTCAAGTGGGAGCTTCTGCTGGGAGCCATGGTGCCCCACTCCCACTGCCCCGGCCACGAACCTCAGCGTCCACGGTCTCCGCAGCAAACGCTAAACAGCGTGGCGCACAGAAGTTCCGTGCGGTGGAGGGCTGAGCAGGGAGCCTTGATGTGCAGGTTCAGTGAGTGGCCGGGACCCTGGGGTGCTTGCAGCCCGCCCCGGCTCTCACTCCTCATCTGCACTGTGCTCCCTTCCCTCCCCTCATTCTCCTGGGAAAAGCTCATGGCTCCTCCCAACCCCAACAGGGGTTCCTCTTAGAAGAGAACCCAGCACATACTAGTACGGTGATCACACACTCGCACACTTTCCTCTCCCTGTCCCAGCGGGCCCAGCCTTTCACCTACATGGACACCTGGGTTGCCATCTTGGGAGGCCTCAGCCCTTTGTGTCCCCTCCTAATGCAGGCCACCGAGACCCTCGGGGGATTCTGAGTCTCAGGCCTCAGCTCCAGAGTCTGACCTTGTGCTGTCTGCTCCACGGATGCCCCCCAGGCTGCCCCAACACTGGAAGGCCTCAATGCACAGGTCACAGCCTCAAAGCACACCCCTCCATGGTGCCTTGCCCTGCACCCCTGTGCCCTTCCCTGTCCCCGTCCCTGGGGCTCAGTGACCCTTAACTCATCATGTTCAAGCTCTCCTGTGTGTTGCCCTTCCTGTGGACTTGTCTCCAGAACTGGCTCTGCCCTCTCCTGGGATTGTCCATCTGCCTGATGTCCTTCCCAGACACACCTGCTGGTCCCTGTCAGGGACTCTGCCTTTCACTTCAGAGATGTCTGTGGCATCAGCAGCAAGGCATGGGGTGAGCTGCAGGACAGGGATGACAGGAAGTCCCTGCTGCCTTTCCCTCCAGAAGGCCTGGGGCCGGACACCTCTCGCTTTCCTGCTGGCACTTCTACAGGCGTATCCCAGCTGCAAGCAGCCATGGGCGGGGTGGCCTTTCCAGCACCGCCTTCTTGTCAAACACAGCTGTACTTGGGGAGGGGCGCACAAAGGCAAGATGGTGTCAAAGGTGGTGGGCAGCCAGACTTGAGCCACTGAGGGGCCTGGAGGCGGGGTAGGGATGAGGGTTCAGAGGGTTGGGGTGTTGGAGAGGGGTGTCGTACCACACTCAGCTAGGAAAGCAGACTCTTGTGTTGATCCAGAGTGAGGAGGGACCAGCACAGCTCACATCTGTGATCCCAAGAGGCAGAGATCGGGAAGATCTTGGTTTGAGGTCAGCAGAGCAAAAAAGTTAGCAAGACCACATTACAACAAACAAGCCAGGGAGTGGTCATGCATTCCTATAATACCAGCCATTAGATAGGAGGACTGTAGTCCTAGGTTGGTACCAGGCAAAAAGCAAAAACTCTAAAAATAACTAAAGCATAAAAGGGCTTGGGGCATAGCTCAAGTGGTAGAGTGCCTGCCTTCCAAGTGCAAAGCCCCGAGTTCAAACTCTAGTACTGCCCAAAAAACCCCAAAAAGATGAGGATGAAACAGTAGCATGCCCCACTGCCTGTCCTGCTCTCTGAGGTCAGTCAGTTAATGAGAAGAGAACAAGGCACCCTGCTGAGGGTGGGAACAGGGAACAGAGAAGGCCTGACAAAAGGGAAGTCCTACTTCTACTAGGCCTGGGTTTCTGGCACATCCAACAGCACAGCTTTTTCTGGGAATTCTTCTAAGCTTTCATGGACATTTCAGAACCCAATAAACACATGTGCCCAGGCCGGAGGACAAAGAGTAACCCCAGTTTACACCTCAGCTCTCTGACCAGGAAGCCCTGGGCTCCAGAAGGATTCCCAGCCCCTCTGACTCCCCAGGATGAAGCCCAGGCAAGAAGCAGGGTCCTGGCAGGCTTGGAGCTGTCAACTCAGAGCAAGGCTGCTAGAGTTTCTCCCAAGCGTCAGCCCAGATCCTCCTAGGACTTTCTGCCCCCAGCCCCAGCCCCTCCTCAGTCCTGGAGTCTGGAAAGAAATGGGCCAGTCTCTTCCACCAGCACCATCCTGACCATTTAAAAATCACCATCTGTGGCCAGGATGGTCTTGTTCCCACAGATCCCGCCTCCCTCCCTCCCTCCCTCCCTCCCTCCCTCAGGTCTCTGCTGCTGTCAGCTTCCCAGAGGCCTCTTGGAAAGAAGCCTAGCTCTCTCTTGGAGAACAGGGACTTTCTCCTTCTGCTTGGGCTGTGGTCCCATGCCAGGGATTGAGCCTCACACTCAGAAAAAGAAAGACTGGGCACTCAGGGCAGGTTGAGACACACAAGGGTGACAGCAGAGTTTGGAGGAGTCGGGGTGTGAGAAAGATGGTCTCTTGCTGCTGGGAATAAGTGCTCTGGAAAGGGTGTCCAAGGGCCTGAGTTTCATGCGTGAAAAAGGAACAAAAGGAGGGCTGCCAAGGCTATTACAACTGCAGGGCTCGGTGACAGCACCGCGGATTTGTTCTTGAGATTTGCAATAAGGGGAAGGGCCTGTGTGGGGCAGTTTGTTATCTGCCGGGCTGGGCCAAGGTGACACAGGTGACCTCAGTCTCATGTCTTCAAGGCTGAGTTTTGTGACCCCCTTCTTGTGACGTTTTAAATCCTTTCCCAAGTGTATGAATCATATGTGGTCTTTTTTTTTTTTTTTGATGGTACTGGGGTTTGAACTCAGAGCCTTGTGCTTGCTAGGCAAGTGCTCTCCCGCTTGAGACATGTCCCCAGCCATTTTGACTGTAGACGTTTTTTCAGTAGGGTCTCTCTTTTATGCCCAGGTCAGCCTTGAGGCCTTGATCCTATTTACGCTTCTTGTGTAGATGGGATGATAGGTTGTGATGAGGTCTCTCAAACGTTTTTCCCTGGCTGGCCTCAAACCTTCTCCTTCCAACCTCCATCTCCTGAGTGCCTAAGATTGCAGGTGTGAGCCACCAAACCCAGCCCAATACTCTTTTGTTTATTGTTTTATATGTGTGTGTGTCCATATTATGCATGCAGACATTAATGAGCATGTTAGCACAAGTGTAAAATACATAATTACATAAGACACACAGTAATGAGTCATATGTAAGAACCTCTGTATGCTGCACTTAGGTAAAATCATATGAGTGACAAGGACATAGCCATCCCTGTGCATGGCACAGATTTATGAAATATGACCTAATATGTGAAATGTGAGCATCTGGGTGGGATGGGAACAATGCTTATTCTGGACACCTGGCCACGGTGCTGTGCCATTTGCCACTTGGCCACTGCAAGATGAGGCGTGTGAAGATGCAAGGCTGGCAGGGCTCATGGTGGGGAGCTGCCCGCACCGAGTGAGGCAAGATGCCCGCGCGTGGCAGACAGTCTGCTGCCAGAGGACAACGCTGGCCTGGCTCGCCCCAGGGATGGGGTATACGCAGCCGAGCCCAGTTGGTTGAGGCATGGAGCCTCAGCAGCCTTTCATTCCTTGTGGCCTGCTGCAGTGGGGACAGAGCGGGGTTGGTGATCAAATGCAGATAGTCCTCCCCTACGAGCAAGGAGCAGCCCTGCACCTACTCTCTCTTATGGTCTCTATGCTGCAAGCCTCCCTCTGACCATACTCTCGCTCCTCCAGGAAATCGTGGAAAACCCGGAATTCATCCTTGGAGGGGCCACCAGGACGGACATTTGCCAGGGGGAGCTGGGTAAGTGTCAGAGCCGGTAATCTGCTCAGAGCCCCATCATAGCAAGAGCAGAACAGGTCCCTGGGGACAGGCAAAGGGATGAGGACCACAAGGCCACCACCCCTGCCCACTTCCTCCGCCTCCCCCAAGCTCCTCCCACTCCTGCTCCTCTCGGGGTAACTATCTGTGCCCTGGGCCTCCCAGGAGCCCCCAGAGCAGGACCTGTCCACCTGCCCGGCACTCCCTCCCCTCAGGGCATGACCTTCTTTCCTCTTTCCATGCTCCTCTTTCCATCTCCCCCATGTCACAGGTGAGGAAACTGAGGCCAGAGAGCCAAGCAACTGGTCCAAGATCAGGAGAGGGGCAGGCAGCAGCAGGGGTTCAAAGCTAGGTAGTCTTGCCACAGAGCTTCTGCTCCCAGCAATCTCACCACACTGAGGATTTAGTCTCTCTCTGCCAGTGGACTGTGTGTGCCCCACACCAGGCAAATCGGGGCTGTACTGAGGATTTAGTGCAAAACTGGGCTATGTTTACCCTATTCTATCCATGAAAAACAGACAGAGGGAGAAAGAAAGAGAGAGAGCAACCTCCTTTCAAATACCAGTACAATTAGTTCAAGGAGCAAACATGCAAGCTTGTGTAGACCTGACTTATTCATGGCCAAGGTTGCTACTGTGGTCGGATGGGCACCGTGGGCTTCACTGGAACCTCCAGGCTGAGTGCCTGAACTACGCAGCACAGAATCCCAAAGTGAGCAACCCAGTTAATTAGTATGTACACGTGCACACACTTACAAACATAGATGACAAACAGGTGGATGGATGGATGGTGGGGAGATGATAGATAGCAGACAGAATTATATATTGAAGGTGTAACTTGAAGCGCTCATAAACCTTGCATTCAGATGGCCTTCCTCTACTGAGGTCTCTCAAAGTTTTCTGGGGCACCTCCTGCCTCCCACATTCCCGTCTGCACCTCCACCTCCTCCACCCTACCCATAGTCCTGCACACACAACCATTGTACCAACTCTGAGTGTGACGTGGCATTGTCTCCTGAAAATAAATAAACCTGTAGTGGCCAAGCAGTGCTGTGGGGTGAACAGACGGTCGAATGCCCACTCTCCCTTATCTCACGGTGGCGCGGGAACTGCTGCATGGCAGCACAAGCCCGCAGTCCATTCTGCACGCACAGGGCACCTGGCACCATGCAGACGGAGCTCGGCGTGAAGTTTGGCTTTCTCTTGCTCTCTTTCTTTTCTTTTTTAGGTACTAGGGTTTGAACTCAGGGCCTCACACTTGCTAGGCAGGTTCCCTACCACTTGAATCATGCCCCCAGCCCTTTTTGCATTGGTTAATTTTGAGATAGGGTCTCACTTTATCCGCCCGGACTGGCCTGGTCTGCAATGCTCCAGTTATGCTGGGAAGACAGGTGCGTGCCAGCACCCAGCCAAGCCATGAGAAGTTTCCTCTCTTATGTCCTGAGTGTGAGCCACAGGCTCAGCAGGGAGCCCAGGAGATTAGGCATCAATCTTCCAACTGAGAGATAACTGAAAGCAAACAGAGCCACCACAGACCTGCTGCCATCTGTAACTGAACCAAGGCTGGGCTGGGGGAGGCAGCAGCCTAGAAATGTGGCCAGACACCACTGGGCTCTTTCTGAGAGCCTCTGCACACAAGTTCCACAGAGCCACCCTGAAATGTGTACTCAAGCAGCTCACGTGGTCCACAAGGACGCTGGGTACGTGCAGCCTTGGTCCCACAGAAGGGACCTGCTGGGACCTCATGAGGCTGAGGCATGATGAATCCGTACCTCTGAAACCTAAGGACACAAACCTGCCACAGTGCCCAGGAGGTGACAGCTCGTTATGACAGGTGGTGCAAGAGGAAAGAGCAGGTAGGAGAGGCAGAGAGAGACGGAGGCTCTCACTTCACTGGTACTCCATTTTCACCTTTATTTTGCCACAGTTTTTGTTAGCAATCCCTCTGTGCATTTAATATATTCTGTGTGATAATGCCACACATGCCTATAACACATGGATACAATGTATCTCCCTCAAATTCACGCCCTCTCTCACAAGTACTGTTTTAAAAACGCGGAAAAGACCCGGCCTCCTCGTTGCTATCCCCACACCCCCTGTGGCATCGCTGGGAATTGGCGATGGCAGGTTTGATTGATGCCTTCACTCTGCAGGGGACTGCTGGTTGCTGGCAGCCATCGCCTCCCTCACTCTTAATGAGAAAGCACTGGCCAGAGTGGTCCCTCAGGACCAAAGCTTTGGCCTTGGCTACGCTGGGATTTTCCACTTCCAGGTAAGAGGGGGCCCTGGACCACCAGGTGGATCTGTGCCCACCTTCACACTGTAACCGCAGGAGTGTGACAGTGTGCGTGAGCATAGTGCCAAACCACACAGCAACCATGCTTCTTCCTGGGGTCACACCGATGTATTGGAGCAGCCCAAGAGGTGAGGTCTGCTGGCTCCGTGTGGACAGTCGATCTTTAAGGACATCTGTGCAAAGCAAGGGTCCATCTGCAAAGGGTTCTATTGTTTGGACTTTCCTGGGTTTTAAGCATAAATGACCTGAAATGATTATACCCCCAGGAAAATGGACTATTTCCTATAAACAGAGACGTTCTCCCTACTGAGGAAATGTAAATTTGGAGACCTTGAGTGAGTTTGAAATATAAAAGTGAGAGAAGCACAGATGCTTTCCAGAGCCGGAGTGACATTCCGGCAAGGCTTGTCAGGGAGCGTCCTTCTCCTCCACCTCCCCTTCCATGCCAGTCCGTGGCTAGGATCCCAGCCCATGATGACACCTGACCCTAACTTCGTGGGGTGGCCCCAGGTGGCTTTCTCAGTGAACCTGACCCTGCACTGTTCTAAAAAAGCAGCTGGATACGACAGAATGAAACAGGCCACACCAGAAGCTGGCACAGCACCAAGTGCCTATTCTCCCACTCAGGCCAGCCCTGTCCCTCCATCCCTGAGGCCCATGGGTGTGTGCTCTAGGTCCAGGGGCAGACACCACAGAAGAGTTTCACAGAAGGACCACAGTGTCCCACCTTGGGCACATTGAGCTCCATCCCTTCCTATGGACCTGCCATGCTGGTTCTATGCCCCGCTGACTCTAGCTGGTCACGTAGCACTAGCCTTGTGGCACCCAGCATCTGGACCAGCTGGACCCTTGAGCCCACTGAGGTAGCAGCAAGAGGTGATTTAAACTCAGTGAATCCCACAGAACTGCTGCCTCAACACCAGAACCCCAGTTGTTCTGCTTCCCAAGGAAACATAATAGAACAATAGAACAATAGCTGGGAGGACTCTTAACAAAGGTCCAACCCAGAACCCACATTTACCCTTGGGGACACTGAGTCCCAGAGAGAAGTGGTCTATCCATGGTCACCAAAAGTAACCACAGTGGCCTGGAGCCCAAAGCTGGTGGGGTTCCCTGCTCTGCCTCTGACAGGTCTTAGGCCAGCTGGGGGCCTGTCAAGTCACTGGCGATGCTCTACCCTCTTCTCCATCTCCTTCTTCCAGCTCCTCTTCAGCCCCTTGCCACAGTGCAGGTGTGTGGGGACTGGGAGGTCAGGAGAGCCGTGTCTGTCACCCACGGGTCCTCAGAGCCCTTCCTGTGGCCTCCCCCTCTCCTGTGCAGGAGGCCTACACCTAAGCCTGGACATTAAATGCCTGTCCCAAGGTGCCTTTGCTGTCCCCAAAGCCACAGTGGTCTCCAGGGCTGAAGTGAAGATGTATCTGAGAGAAGTGCTGGGTGGGGCCTGAGTAGCAGTCCAGCGTGGGCAAGTGGCAAGTTTTCCCCAAAACACACACAGCTTTGGCCAGAAACTGGGCAGGCCAAGGTGTTGCTGGTGTGGAGAGAGGCTCAGAATGCCCAGCAAACTATGAGTCCACCTGTCTGGGGCCACCGTGCCTGGTTCCTGTCTGACCCCCAGTCCTCCTCCTCAGGCTCTGCTGTTGGCCTCAGAGTCTCCCAGACCAAGGCACTGGGAAGAACAGGGAGGAGAAAGGAAAATCGGAGGCAGGACACATGGCCCTTGACTTGTTCCCTTTCCTCTCCTATTCTCTGTGGGTCACACAGAAGCTCGCGCACGTGCATGTGTGTGCTCAAGCACTCATACACACCCTCGCACACGTGCACATGTGTGCTCTAGCACACACTCAAACATGCACAAACTCAAACGCACATGCATGTAAGCACACACTACTTGAAGACATAAACGTGTAGAATGTACACACATATTCATATATGTACACATCCACACAGCCCTCACGTCTCCACGCCCAGCACACAAGAAAACCAAATCCACCTGCCTCTCTGTGTAAAGAGCCAAAGATCCGGGAACCTGAGACAGAATCAGACTCTAAAACCGGTAGGAGAGAGGTGGAGACTAGACCAGGCAAGAGCAGACCCAAACCCAACACTACCTCCCTCTGCCCTCCAGCCCTCCTCTCCCCACTGACAACTGGCTTTCTTGTGCAGAAGCATCGGGTCAGAGCTGTGCAGTCTATGTGTGACTCCTGTGCTGCCCCCTCCCCACTCTGATGGTCCCATGGAGTCTGGGAGCTGAGAGGGTGGTGGGTGGGGCCCGCACATGCTCCATGATGGCCCCCATGTAGGACTTTCCTCAAGACGATAAGGGCAGTTTGCTCAGAGGGAAGAGCAACAGAGTAAACATTTGCAGATGGGCCCACGCCTCCGTGTGACTCACCTCCACTTTCCCGTCTCACCCTGGCACCAGTTCTGGCAGCACAGTGAGTGGCTGGATGTGGTGATCGACGACCGACTTCCCACCTTCAGGGACCGCCTGGTCTTCCTCCACTCTGCCGACCACAACGAGTTCTGGAGTGCCTTGCTGGAAAAAGCATATGCCAAGTGAGTCCGGCTCTGCGTGTGCCCTGTCTCCAAAGGCCTGGCTCCGCTCGCCCTCACCAGCTGCTTTGCAGGGAGACTGAGGCACCATGGGCCACCTGCTGGGGGTGAGAAGGTTGGAAGTGGCCTCCATGCGTCCCCTTTGTCTCCCTGAGTCACAAATCTGGCCTTGGGAAGAGCTGGTGAGAGAAGAGCTGGGAGGGGAAGGAGGGGGAGGGACCCAGGCTGCGCCCACAGCCCTGGGTTCTTCAGCCCTCCCTCCAGACGCAGCCATGGCCCAGACATCCATCTCTACATGGGTGTGGACAGCAGCTGTCTCCTCAGAATGTGCCTGTCCTTTCTTTTTAAAAAAATTGTAGTAAAATATACACAGCATACACTTCACTGCTTTAACCATTTTAAGTGTGCAATTCAGGGGCCACCAATGCATTCACGCTGTCCTTAGATGTCCTTAGCCATCCTTAGACCTCTGCACGTTGTAAAACTGTACTCTGGTTCCCTTAACCCCCACGCCCTCTCCCTCCAGCCCTGGGCAGCGCCATCCACCTTCTGCTTGTGGTTTGACTGTCGAGGACTTGAAACACTGGGCAGTGCCAGTTCCCTCAGGATCCCGCTTTCCAGTCCACTGCCAGACTGTGACAAATCAGTCCAACTGCATCACAAATGGGGTGGGAGACACAGGTTCCCATCTTAGTAACATGGGGGAAAGTGAGGTCCGTAAGGTCAAAGGCTAAAGAAACGGCACATAGCTCTGTGCTCTGGGTGACAGTCATTTCTCCAAGGGGCACAGGCAGACAATTCTGTGCAATGGCACATATCCAGTGAATCGGACAGTCCGGCAAAGTACAGCAGGTGGGAGCAAAGCGTCCCACTGTTGGAGTTTGAGGTCACAGATGAGTAAGGGAGAGGCTGGAATGATCCACATGGTGACAGGTTAGAGTCGGGGACACCACAGTGGACTTACACTGGGCCTGACAGAGATGAGCACAGACACCTCCTGGCATTGTCAGCAAAGGGACCCAAAGGTAATGACAGCCCCGCAGCAACAATCACACCCGCCTCCAAGATTTGCTTTGCAATGTCACTCATTCTCCAATAAAAGAAACGGGGGTCCTCATAGATAAGGCTGATTCAGGGACAGGGGTGGGAACTAGGTATACTGAGGCTAGCACCTCTTTTCTCTCTTATTGTGAAGTGGGAGCACACACACACATATACACATGCACACACAGAGACACACAGACATACATACACATAGACACACAGGTACAGACACAGACACACACAGATGCAGCTATGTCAAAGGGACACAGAGGCCACCTGAAGGATCCCAAGTAGCCACAGTTAAATTGTACAGTAGGACAATTTAACCAGTAAAATCAATAAAGCAGAGTTGGATCATAAACCAAAGTATAAAATGAATACCCATGAATCCACATGGCTTTCAACAACTGATTAAATTAATAAATGGAGGGAAAGGACAACTCTTGCATGACGATTAATCTGAACCCAGAACACACCTCCTGCTCTTCACTGTGGCCACACACAGTGAGCATAGTGGGTGGGACAGGGTCACACCATGACTTTTCAGTGGAGAAACCTGACAGTCATGGCCTCAACCAGTGACCAGGCCACTATCACAGGGAAGTCATGTCCCTTTGACAGGTGTGACTAATGAGACAGTCTCCTCCCCCAAACCCCAGCCCCATGCATACACAAGAAAAGCATTGGGCAGACACCAGTGGAGGGCATCCTACAGTCTCCTGCCCCGGATGCCCCAGAACCATCTGGGTCACCAAAAATGAGGAAAATGAGGAACGGTCACAGCCCAAAGCAGCCCAAGGAAATGTGATCACAAATGTTATGTGGGGTCCAGGAAGGAATCCAGGGGCAGAAAAGACATTCAGTGAACACAAAGGAAATCTGAGTCACTGTGCATCAACAGGGAAACAGGTGCTGCTGTGGGAGCTCTGTTATTTATGAATTTTTCTATAAATTCTGTTTTATTGAAAATTTAGTTAAAAATTCAAGCAGAAAAAGAATGTTCCTAAAAGGCAGTGCATGTTAAAGAAAGAGCTGCCTGTGAGAAAGACCGGTGGAAAAGTCCACCCATAACCAGCCCCCAAGGAAGCAGCTTGACCAAGGTCGTTCAGCTTGTAAGGGGTGACCTTGGATTTGAACCACAGCCATCCATGACAGCCTGCTCTGCTCTGCGGCACCCAGATGCCCACCATTGCAGAGCCGGGTCCTTGGTCTCCATGGAGCCCCCAGCAAATTCCACACCCCAGTCCCCTTCCCTCCACGTCCCCAGCAGTCCCCACACTCCTGTCCTCCTTGCAGACTGAACGGGAGCTACGAGGCACTGAAGGGGGGCAGTGCCATCGAGGCCATGGAAGACTTCACAGGAGGTGTGGCGGAGAACTTCCAAACCAGAGACGCCCCGGAGGACTTCTACCAGATCCTGGGGAAGGCCTTGAAGCGTGGCTCCCTGCTGGGCTGCTCCATCGATGTAAGTCACTAGCTGGCTCCTGCCCAGGTGGCTGGACTGAGGTCTTTGCCAGGGCCCTGGCTGCACCACAGGAGGGGAACAAGTTTCTTGTTTGGCGGGGCGCAGGGTGGTACTAGAATTTGAATTCAGGGCCTCACACTTACTAGGCAGGCGCTCTACCACTTGAGCCACTCCACCAGCCCTTTTTGTGATGGGTTTTTTAAGATAGGATATCAGGAACTATTTGCCTAGACTGGACACAAACCATGATCTCCCTGATCTCTGTCTCCTGAGCAGCTGGGATTACAGACATGAGTCGCCAGTCCCCAGCAAAACCCAAGTTTTTAGTTAATGTTTCTTGGATTACACGCTTGTTGTCAAGTGGAGACGTGGAGGACCGTTCATCTCTCTCTCACCACATCCTGTGCTTCTCCCAGCCCCAACCTGACCCTGCTCCTGCTGCCTGCCGTGTCTGTGCTCGGACAGACAGACATGCACACCCACAGGCACACAGGGCAAGGCCAGCTTGATCTCACAGAAAGGGAGCTTACTGCATGCCCCCCTGAAATTTGCTTTTCTCATTTCACGCACCATGAGAAAATATCATATCAGTGAGTAGAAATCTAACAGCATTTTTTAATTTCTCCAGGCACGAACACACACAGGTATACCTTTAGCTCATCCATTTTTGAAATCTATTCAAGTTTTGTCTTCCTCTTAGGTCTGCCTTGGGGATCCATTTTTTGCTGGTGCCTTTGTTCATTCCCTGTGTAGTTCATGTGGTAGCACAGAGTCGCTTGCACAGTGGTGTGTGCCTCTGAGCATTCCCTCCGTGTGTGTAGCTATGTTTGTGTCTTTTGTTTGTTGTATGTGTGCCATCGATGGTCAGATTCTGTTGGGGGACAGCAAAGCCAACTCTTCATTCTTGGGAACAAGGGTCCCCTGCTCTGGGAAGAGACTAGTCTTGCTGTGTGTCACTGATAAACATCCTAGAGGTGCCGGGAACAGTGGTTCCTGCCTGTAATCCCAGCCACTCAGGAGGCAGAGATCAGGAGGATCACAGTTCCAGACCAGCCAGGCAAATGGTGAACCAGACTCCATCTCAGCCAAAAAAAAACCTAGGTGTGGTGGCATGTACCTGTCATCCCAGCTATGAAGGAAGAGTAAAAAGGAGGATCGAAGTCCAGACCAACCCAGGCATAAATGCAAGACCATTCTTAAAATAACTAAAGCAAAAGAGGCTGGAGGCATGGCTCACATGGTAGAGCACCTGCTTAGCAAGCATGAGGCCCTGAGTTCAAACCCTGGTACCGCCAAAAAAATCTGAGATGCCCTGGGCCTCCAAATTATACAGCCCATGCACGTGGCCTCTCTTGGGGGAGCAGAAGACTGGTGGATGTGACAGGCAGCCATGGCACTGGGGCTGGCCTGGTGGGGATGGCGTGGTTTAGACGATGGGTTTGACGCTGTTCTTCTCTTGTTTAAGATCAGAGATGCTGCAGACTCTGAAGCCCGGACACCATTCGGTCTCATTAAGGGCCATGCCTACACCGTGACAGGGATTGACCAGGTAGGGGCAGGACCCACTGTGGGGGTCTGGGAGGCAGGACACCACTGGACCCTTAGACACTCGGTCAGTGCATCAGTGCATCATGGCTTAAACACTTTTCCTACATTTCTGAGGACATTTCACCCACAGGAGTGAGCGAGAAGCTGGGTGACTTCCCCCAGCACCAAACTTGTGCAGCAGGGGTGAGAGCCTGGGCTTCATTGTTTGCTTTTTATTTTTTCTTCTGTTCTTTCCCAATTCCATACCAGTCTTCTGGTAGCCAGGACTCCCCAGAGAAATAAACCCAATCAGAGAAGCAATTGCCTTATACCACCATGGAGGCTGAGGTGTCCCAAGGTCTGTCACCTGCAGACTGGAGACCCTGGAATGCCCATGCTTGCTTCCAATCCAAGTCTGAAGGAAGGTCTGAGATGGAGAAAGCCAGAGGTGTGAGTCCTAGTTCCAGAGCAGGTGACAGGTGTCCCAGCCCAAACGGTCAGGTGGAGAGAGCAGTTTCTCCCTTCCTGTCCCTTCTTGTTCAAGCAGAGGAGACGGACCCACACTAGGGAGGCAGTCTGCTTTGTTTAGGTTGCCTCACAACCTAAATTTAATCTCACACAGAGATTCCCAGACGCAACCAGCAAAACCTTTAAGCAAATATCAGAGCACCCCGTGGCCCAATCAAGGTGACACAAGAAACTGTCTTCCCAAGTCCTATGCTCCACAGCTGTAGCCTAGGATGGAACCAATTCCCGGCCACTCAGACCCCACAAAGCACCACCCTGCCTTCGAGAATGTGCTTAGAGATCCTTGAGGGAAAGGAGGGAGAGAGGAGAGAAAAGCAGGAAGGAAGACAAGAAGCCACAGTTCTACTACCCAGGGTCAAGCCCAGGGAACCGCAGGGGCCCCTGTCTTGCCCTCACTGTCCCTCCTGGACCATGTCCACCCAGTCCAAAAGGGACACAGCACCTCTGGTCTCTTCTCACTGCTGATACTTTGAGTGCACACCATGAATGTGTGGTGCAGGAGGAGTCCTCACTGTGGCCAGATAGGCAGTATAATTATAGTTTTGGGGATTATTTTGTTTGTCTGCTTGGGGGCTCTTGGGCTGTACTTGGGTTTGAACGCAGGGCCTCACACTTGCTAGGCAGGTGCTCTACCATTTGAGCCACGCCTCCGGCCCGTTAGGCTTTTAGTTATTTTTTGAATAGGGTCTTGCATTTATGCCTGGAATTGCCTGGACCACAATCTTGCTGTTTATGTTTCCTGCGTAGCTGGGATGACAGGTGCCACCACGCCCACCCTTTGTTGATTGAGATGGGGGCTCTTCGACTTTTGGCCCAGGCTAGTCTGGAAGCTCTATCCTTCCGATCTCTGCCTCCCAAGTAGCTAAGATTCCAGGCACCAGCCACAGGGCCTGCCCGGATTCTTTAACACTTCAGTTATTTGTGTTGGTTCCTTGTGACCTCCATCCCTGTCTGTGCATGTGGGGATGCTGGCTTACATGACGGGGCAGGTGTTTTTTCAGGTCAGATCTAAATACTACTCCCATACAGTGACCTCCTTCACCCCAGTCCACTTGCTTCCGCTTTCCCTCTACCCACAAGGAGCTGCTGATCAGTGACTACTACAGATCCTAAATGCTGAGTTGACATTACTCAAAGTGTCTTCACAGCTATGTCAAGTGCGTGAGGACAAAACACTCGGAGACCTAGGTTTCCTCTGCTCTCTCACCGTCAAGTCCTTTCTCGATGCCTGGCCTCCTTTCTGCTCCAGACAGAGCTCGAGGTCACTGCTGAATTGTCCCCTCACTGGCTCCAGGTTATCGATGGCTCATATGACCCGATGGGGAGAATATGGCACCAAGCAGACAGAATCTTATTGTTGTTGCTTAAACTCGCAGCTCATGGTTTTTTCTCTGACCACCCATCTGGATCTGGTGCACACTTGTGAGCACATCTCTGTTCTACCCCAGTGCCAGATGCTGAGGGGACACAGGAACTGAGAAGCCAGGGTCCTCAGGGATTCTGGTCCAGAGGAAACCCTTCTGCTTGAAGACGCACTGGCTGCCTGTTGATGCATTATTTCCCAGATGTGCCAGATGTGCAGAGGTGAATAGCATATCATGGCAATCCTACCAAGTGTTCTCCATAGGAATTAGAAGATTCCAAGGGCTGGTCAAGAATCCATGAGTTGGCCAGGAATCCATGAGTTGGCCAGGCATGGTGGCACATACCTGTAACCCCAGTTTGCCAGAGGCATAGGTAGAAGGATTGCAGTGTGAGGCTGGCCACAAGCAAACCCTGTGGGACGCTATCTGAAAAATAACTAAAGGAAAAAAGAGATGGAGGTGCCTCGCCAGCATGAGGCCCTGAGTTCAAAACTCCCTTTTGCCTATCTTCAGCATATTTTAGACAGGAGGACTTTGGTACAGACAGGAGGACTTTTGGTACAGTTCAGCCCATGGAGTCCATGCGTGAACCTCCACTTCACATTTTGTGGATGTTTTTCCCTTCTAGGTAGACTTCCAAGGCCAGAAAGTCGAGCTCATCCGAGTCCGGAACCCTTGGGGCCAGGTCGAGTGGAATGGATCATGGAGTGACAGGTCAGTGACTCCGTCCCATCTCTCACCTATGCAGACCTGAGAAGGAAGAGGGGCTTGTCTGCGGCTCTCCCCAGATCTCAGCCCGGGTCCTGTTCTACCCCTGGGGTTCCCTGCTTCTCTCTTCAGTCCTCGGGCCCACCCTTGGTGAAAACTGGTTCTCAAGACAGACCTTACAACAGCTCTATAACCTGCCTGTCATTGTTCCTATGTCTGTGGCTGCACTGCCACCAATGGGGACAGTGTGTATCTCTGCAACGTCAGGAAGGACTTTATCTCTGATGAGCAGGTCCAGTAGTCTGTGTGTGCAAGTGTGTGCATGTGAGTGCGTGTGTCCACGTGAGAGTGTGTGAGCGTGTGTCCGTGTGTGTGCATGTGAATGCATATGTGTGCGTGTCCAGGTGAGAGTGTGCATATGTGTGCATGCGTGTAGTGGGGTGGCAATAACTCTTGGGTCTGGAATCCCTGAAATACTACCCATCGTAACTATAGGATTCTCTCTGCTGGTCTCTGACCATTGTCCATGGCCCATGAGCCAGCAGAGAGACAGAAAGTGGAACAGGAAATCTGTTCACTGCCAACTCCTAACCAGGCTTTAGTTGGCCCTGATTATAAGGAGAGGTCTGCTTTGCCAGCATGTCCCCACCCATCCCTTTGACAGTGGCCCAGGTGACTGGGAATTGGGTTGCTGCTGTCACCCCCCAGGCTCCTGTTCTGCCGTGCCCCACCCTGGCCTTGGTTCAACCTTCCCAGATCCCAAGGGTACTGGCGGGAAGGGAGTTGGACCAGACTGATATTGAAGGAGGGAAGAAATGGTCCTCCCTCTCCTGGTAGAAATGCAAAGAGCAGAGACACAGTGAAGCCAGAATTAACCAGACCACATTGTGGCACAGACGCCCCAGGTTAGGTGGATGTCACAGGACAGAGATGGGTTGCCACATGGTCACAGTTCCACAGCAGAGATGACTAAATCTGAACCACAGTAGTCCATCTGTCTGAAAACTCATATTGCAGTGCTGGTGTTCAAGTGACCCTTGTAATTTTCCTTATCAGTGACCCCAAAGCCGCCAGACAAGCCAAAAAGAAGGTGACAAGTGCTTCCCTTAAGGGAAAAGGTGCAAGTTCTCCACTTAATAGGAAAAGAAAAGCAACATACAGTGAGGTTGCTAAGACCAACAGGACAATGAGAAAGAGGGGGGGAAGGGGTGTGGGGAAGAGGCAGGAGATAGGGAGGAAGAGGCGGGGAAGAAGAGTGGGGGAAGAAGACGGGGCGGGGGAAGAAGAGGGGGGGAAGAGGCAGGGAGAGAGACAAGAGACAGAGCACATTTTTGGAGCTGCAGTTGTAACTTTCTAGTTTATGACTGCTCGTCTTTTACTGGTCCTAATTTAAAACTGAATTTCATTGTCAGCATGGACTTATAGGAAGACACACAGCACATGCTGGACTCAGCCCTCTTGCAGCTCAGACAGCCCCGGGGCTCTTAGTGCACCCCCAGGATAAGGGGACCACTGTTTGGAGGAAGCAGTGAGGATCACAACACAGGCAGAGAACTTGAGTCATAAATTTGAGTTTGGAGGGCGGTGGGCAGCTGCTCCTCACTACCTCTTCCTGAGAGAAAGTTCATGGCCTACCTGAGCCTTCCTGTCTGTAGGTGGAGCACACCTATCTCACAGACCCTACCTGATGTTTTGGTGAGGTCAAGTAAAGGACGTGTTTGGTACTTAAAGTGACAACCATGGGTAAACCTAAGGGGCTAGCATCACTTTCTCAAACTTATAAAGCAGGAGAGGCCACACTTGCTCCTAGACACATAGCAAGATGGAGGCCTGAGTTGTCAGCTGAGATTTCCAGCTGGGCTCCTCTGCGACCCCTGGGTTTAGCTCCTCGCCCCATGATGACCTACGAGTCCGTCAGCAGCACTTGCAGGCACACTTCCTGTGAAGCCTCATGTACAGACAGTGCCCGCTGGTCTCTGCAGCCCTGGTCATATCACTGGGCCCAGGGAGCAGTCACTAAGCCAAACCTGTTCCCCACACAATGCACAGTGGGGTTCCTGGGTGGGAGGATCTGCACCCAAGACTGAAGCCCGGCTCTGTTGCTCCTAGCTCTCCCGAGTGGCGCTCCGTGAGCCTGGCTGAGCAGAAGCGCCTCTGCCACTCCGCTCTCGACGACGGGGAGTTCTGGTACAGCGCTAGTCTCTTCATTGCTCGGTTAGCGTGTGGCAGGTGTGAGCACAGGGCCTCCCGGGGTGAGGAGCCCCCTCTCTGCCCCACTCCCTCCCCTCCTTCCTCCTTCCGTCCCTTCCTCCTCTCACTCTCTTTCCCCTTCCTTCCCTCATTCCTTCCTGTCTTCCTGTCTTTGTAGCTCAAATACATCTGTCCGGCATCCCTCGTGGCCAGCCAGGTTGGCAGGGAATTTGATCCAGTGGTGTTTGGATCAAATCCCCACCTCTGGACTTGTTGGTGGGGAGCTCATTCCATCCAGAACACGTCAGGCAGAGCTTTGCGTATCCAGGCCACCATCCCTCCTGTGATCTCTGCCATCCAAGTTTGCACACAGTGAATTGGAAGACAGCCAGCCCCGCTGCCCGCAGGGTCCACTTCCCTTCCCCATCCCCCGCCCAGTCCTAGGACCAAGGAATCTGAAAGTCCCAGCCCAGGTAGAAGGAATCATTCCTGCTCCAGACACCCACGGGGCTGCATGTCTGGTTCACAGGACATTTCTAAAGGGCATTCATCTTCAGAATCTTTCTCAATCTTACGTCCTCCTGTTTGGGACCCAGAAGCAGTTGGCTCTCCCAGCCCTGCAGTCACACGCTTCTGGCTTCCAGCTCGGTTCCCTTGTGTGAGCTTCAGCCCGTCACTTCTGGCCCAGGCTCGTCTCTTTCTTGGAACACCTTTCAAATATGAGCAAATCCCATGAAATCAAATATCCCAGCCTTTCCTTTCTTTTCTTGTAAAGCACAACTCCCCCCGTCTCTCTCCGTCCCCCCACACCATCGTGTTCTTACAGCTGTCAGTCTGCTTTAACAAAATACCACAGATTGGGGTGTATAGGTAACATTTATTGTTCACAGCTCTGGAGACTGGAGGTTCAAGACCATGGTGGGGCAGGTTCCAAGTCTAGTGAATGCTTTCTCATTCATAGACCCTGACCTCTTACCATGTCCAAACATAGAGGAAGGGACGAGGGAGATCTCTGTGGCCTCTGTAAGGGCACTAATCCCTTTCAGAAGGGCTCACCCTCGTGACCAGTCACCACCCCAAACCTCACCTCCTCGTACCATCATATTGATGATTACATTTCGACAGGAAATTTGGTGGGCTGCACACATACAGACCATAGCAACAGGAGCGGGTTTACACAATACTTTGTGCTACTGCAGTGACCTCCAGCTTTCTATGTGCCCTGGAGCAGTGTGTGGTCTCTCCCTCAGCAGCACAGAGTGCTCCCCGGACTTGAAGGACACGCTGTGGTTCTCCCCCATAAGTGCCTTCTGTAGGCCTTGTCCTGGTCCCACCTTCTCTCCTTTACCCTGTCAGTTTTTGCCCAAGGCTCAGTGAGGATCAGATCACTCCTTGATAGCTGATCTCCCTGTCACAGACTTCAAGGACCTCTTTACACGTAATTCCTGGCTTTCCCTGGAATTCCAGATTCATACCTTCACCCACCTGCACGGCATCTCCCCCAGTACCCACTAGACATGGCAGAGGAACCTGTGCTCCCAGGTCTTCCCCGTGCTGGAGGCACAGCAGCCTATCTCATCTCTACCCTCCTGCGGCTTTCCCCAAACACTCAGTTTCCCCCCACTTTCACTCCACACACCCAACCCACCAGCAACACTAGGATCTGCCTTCAGAATATATCAAATGCAGCCACTGCTGGCTGCAGCATAAAACAAACCACCTCCTCTCTGCCTTGGAGGATGCACTGATTCCTAGCTGGCCACCCTGCCTCAACTGGCCTCCCTAAGGTCTGCTCTCCACACAGCAGCCATGGACCACATGGGTCCACACCACCCAATGGCTTTCCATCTTCTCAGCATCAAAGTCATATCCTTCTGCCTGCCTGGTCCTGCTTCTTACTGATGAGCTCTGGCCTTGACTTCCTTGGTGTCCCATGAGCACGGCAAGTTCCTCTGTGCCCCCAGGACCTTGCTCTCGCTCTGCCTAAAGCCCCAGAGAGCCAACTGCCGGGTCAGTGTACTTCAGGTCTCCAATTCTACAGGGAAGGTCACTAAGGCCTTCCTTCCCCATAGAAAACAGAACCAACCCCACACACCCCTGCCCCCAGTCTAACTTCGTTGTTCTCCTCACCAAGCTGTATTTTTACCTTTTTCATCTTTTTCAAATCTCTATCCTTTTTTTGTTTTTTCTCCCCACCCTCCCCCACCCACGTACACAATAACATAATTCCTTAAGGACAGGGATAGGTGGTTGAATGAGCGATGGACGGTATCATCACCATCGCCTTCCTGAGAACCCATCCTCCACTCTGTTGTAGGATGGCACTCAAGGACTTCAAGATGCATTTTGACAAGGTGGAGATCTGTAACCTCACACCTGATGCCCTGGAGGACGACGCCTTCCACCGATGGGAGGTGACCACCCATCAAGGCAGCTGGGTCCGGGGCTCCACGGCTGGCGGCTGCCGTAATTTCCTGGGTAGGTGATCGCCCTGTCCCTCTCTCTGCCATTCCCAAGTATCCAGTCCATCCTGGGGACATCGATGGCCAGTATGAAGTGTGGAGTTGTACACATCCCAGATTCCTGGGATGGCCGGGGTAAGAGCTGCAGAGGCTTGATAGGAAGTCAGGGATGAATTCACGGGGGAGACTCCATGCTTTACCACACGGGGTATTTTGCAGTGCAGGTGACAGAGCTCCAGGTCTCACCAGGTTAGCAGCGGAGAGGGTCTGTTGTCCTACAGAATTGAAAAGCTTGGTTTCAGGCCCACTCCTATGAGGGCTCTGGCTCTGTTTGCTTGGGACTCGGTTCTGCCCTCTTTCCTGTATTGACATCTTTGTCGTCTGTTTCTTTACAAATGAGGCAGGGCTGTCGGCAGCACAGGGGGCTTGCTGAGCCTTACTATCACACACAGCGAGCAGTCCTAAAGATCAGTAAATAAAATCCTCCATTTCCCTCAACCTGAGACACATGAGCCAGTGTTGCCTGATGAACGCTGTGAGCCAGTTTGCTTTGTTCAGATCCTCCATGGCAACAGAGACCAGCAGAGGCCAGAGGACATCCTTGAAACTGGGACCAAGGTCAGACCTATGCCAGTTGCAGAGTGGGCATAGCAAAGGGACAGTGGGAGGCAACAGGAGTCTCCACACTCTCCTCTGAAATGCCAAATGGAAAAATAAAACAAAGAACTTTAGCAGAATAGACACATGGGGGAGAGCCGCGCGGGGAAACGGTTTGAAAGAAGGTGGGAACGGAGGCAGGAGGTTCTGCATCCCCGCCAGGGTCACAGGGAAAGGGGACTGATGGGAACAGGAAGAGAAGAAGCCATTTACTCAGGGTTGAGAGGACCTCGGTGGGTGGGTAGGGGTCTCTGTGTGTGTGTGTGTGTGTGCAGTTTGGAGCTTTGTTTTGTACTTTTAATAATCTACCCCTTTCAAATGGCAGATACCTTCTGGACCAACCCACAGATAAAACTGTCCCTGACTGAGAAAGATGAGGACCAGGACGGATGCAGCTTCCTTGTGGCTCTGATGCAGAAAGACCGGAGGAAACTCAAGAGATTCGGTGCCAAGATGCTGACCATTGGCTATGCCATTTACCAGGTAGGGAAGACCAGCTCGCACTCGGAGTAATTCCCCCACTCCTTCTCTAGCCAGTCCCCCACTGTGTCTGAGGGGTCCAGACCAACAGCCTCCCTGCAGGGCCCTGCTTCCTGTTGCAGTGCCCCAATATGGCCGGACACCTCAACAGGGACTTCTTCAGGTTCAACGCCTCCCTGGCCAGGAGCAAGACATTCATCAACCTGAGGGAAGTCTCCGACCGCTTCCGACTGCCCCCCGGGGACTACATTCTCATCCCCAGCACCTTTGAGCCCCACCAGGAGGCTGACTTTTGCCTGAGAATCTTTTCAGAGAAGAAAGCCATTGCCCGGTGAGGAGCAGAGCCGACGCCGTGCACAGTGAGGTCACCCGGGGCGGGTGGAGTGAGGACCCCATCGTCCCTTTCCCCATCACCACTCTGGGAAAATAGGCTTCTGCAACCAGCTGCATTTTCCTTAGCTCTGCCCCCAAGCCCTCAGGCACCCTAAGAAAATCCAACTGCTTCAGAACCATGCTCACAGCCACTCTGGGGAGCAGCCCTTCCTTTTTCAGACCCCATTCCCAAGAAGCTTCTGGGGTGTGAAGCATAGGATGCTAGACCTGTGTGTGTGTGTGTGTGTGTGTGTGTGTGTGTGTGTGTGTGTGTGACAAAGGGGGTGACTATTGTAAGTTTCCAGATGACACGTTCTTTCAAGTCTCAGCCATTCTATACTGCCAACCCTGTCACCACCCCCACAGCGTCTCAACAAGATTATTTCTGTGGCTAAGATTTCCCATTGCTGTCACTCACCATTGGTTGGGCTGTGGCAAAGGGGAAAATGGTTCAAAATACAAAAATCCATTCCTTTGCCCCGTGAAGATGGCAGAGGGTGGCACAGACAGATGATAAAACCCCAACTTGCACAGAGCTAGCAAGAGAGAGAAAGCCATGAAAACCACCTGCTCTTGGCTACCGTCTCCTTCACGAGGCAGAATGGGGTGGAGATGTGCACAGAGGAGACCCCAATTCCAACCCTTTTCTGGGTTTCCCAGGCTGTGACAAAAGGCATGGTTCTTTCTCTTGTTGAAATAGAAGCAGTAAAATCTTAACTTTTTAACTCTGCTGGAAAAATTGTCTGCAGCCTTCTCCCAGACCCTGACTCAAGCTGAAGGTGGATTTTCCAGTTTTTGTTCATAAGGTACACCTCAAATGAGATCCACGCACAGTGCCATGCGGTCATCAGGACAAGAACAGAGCTCAGCTCTGCCAATCCTACACCTCCAGCTCTGTCCCAGCAGAGGGGTGAGGTCAGAGCCTTGGTGTGACATGGCAAAGAGGACTTCACACTTGAACCCTGAACGATACACGTGTCAGAACACACACAATGAGCTGTTTTCGGTGGCTTGGCTCCCAGGCAGGGTCCTGATCACCAAGCAGAGGTTTATGCTGTGTGTGTCCCGGGAACGGGAGGTGTTCACTCGTATCCTGTGCGTTGGGTAGTTTTTCTTTGGGAGTGTTTCTCATTTAACCTGTAAGATTGCGTTCCTCAAAAATGGTTTTAGCTTCAACAAAAGCTGAAATCTGCTCTACCTCTTAGTATTTCTGCTACTCAAATGCTACAGCTTTCTCTAAATGCGCAAACAGCAAAATGAACATATTTCTATCAATTTTCTTCTTTTCCCCAAACACACCGCCCCCAGCAGAATAGAGATTTGCTTCTGAGGGGCAGGGGGAGGAGGATGCAGTGTACCTTCAGGGGCGGCGTTTGAGACAGCATCTCTCTATGCATCCCAGGCTGGCCTCAAACTCACGATCCTCCCGCCTCAGCCTCTTGAGTGCTGGGATAACAGGAGTGCACCAGCAGGCCCTGCTCGAGGTTTTTTGGTTCTGACTCGACCACTCTGTCACCTGTTTAAATCCCCTTACCCTCTCTGAGTGACTGGTCTCCAGCAGTGTGAGTCTCCTTGGGAGAAGCAGAATTGGAGCAGGAGGGGGAGCACTTAATGGAACTGCACCTCTTGCGGGTTCTTGGAGGCTCTAGTGTTCTTTCTACACATCACTTCATCCATAGCCCTCGTTAAAGTATAGCACAGAAATAGGGAGCTGATGGTCCAGCTTCTCCTGTCTCCAGGGGTCCTGGACTTGCGATCTCTCCTCTGGTGAGAGCTATCCCTGCCTCCCTCTTGCTGGCTTACCGAGCAGGGTTGAGAGTTTGGGGTGAGGTGTCAATGCCTGGGATCTGCAAGTCCCATGAAGCACAAATGGCTCTGAACAAGACGCGCTCTGCTGGGACAGAACCTTCCGCAGCTCTGGCTGCTAAGCCACACTGAGGCAGCGTGTTTTCTGCCCCTGCAGGGACGTGGATGGAAGCATGGACATCGACCTTCCCGAGGTGGGTCCTCTGACACAGATGGGATTCACTGAAGGTTCTGGAGTCCTTCCCTAACTATAATTCCTCTTGGAAGTCAAGTTCAGGGAACGGCTATTTGCTATCAGACAAGAAACTGAGACTGACTCAAACCCTGCAGGCCAGGACATGTGGCTTCTAGTCCCTCACATCCCAGATGACCCACAGGGGCCAGGCAGATGCCAGGAGGCCATCTTTCTCTCAACTTCACCTCCACCTGAGATGCACCTGCTGCTTGTAAAGGGCATGAAATATCCTTACAATTATTTTAAGAAAATAATCAGTTAAAAAAAAAGACAAGTGAGGCAGGTAGACCTTTTCCCCATGGTCTCAGGGGAACACAGGACTTGTCCCCATACTGTGTGATGGGGTCGAGAGGCCAAAGGGATGTGAGACCTTCCAGGGACTCTGAGATGGATCCAGAACCCTGGGAGCCTCTCAGACCTGCTGCCCTCGTGTGGCCACAGTTGGTTAATGCTGCCAAAACACATTGAAAAAACAAAACCACCCCAACATTTACTGAGCAATTTGTATGTAACAGGCCTAGCACCAGGATGCTGGAAGCAGATTCCTACCCGCCGAGGGCTGAGAGTAAGGCAGGGTGTGACAGTCCATGGCCGGCTGACCGCAAGGGCCAGGCATCCTTAAGCCTTCTCACCCAGGCAAGACGGACCTTAGGTTCCACAGGCTGGGATGGAGCTCCCACACTGGCCCCAACCGACCACGCAAAATGGGGTTTTTCATGCTGATATCCATGTCACCAAGTAGTTCATCTGCCTTCTGAGAAATCAGGAGGAGGTAGCTGACAGGCAAACCCCCGGCCAGCTCTAGCTGTGTGACAGAAAGCCTCTTTGTCCTTGTGCTGACCACTCTCATCCCGTGCTGCGTCTTCTGTTCCTGCCCCAGCCTGGCAGAGCACCTGTTTCTCAACCCACAAATCGCTAATGGAAGCCACTGAGATCCTAGACTGAATCATGGATATTTAGTGTCTTGGCAGGAGGCTTCCACAGCACCCTGCCTATAAAGTCCTCGCAGGTTCCCCTTCTGCAGAGCCTTCCCCAGACCTCCAGCCAGCTGCTCCTTCAGTCAGAGGCCAAGGCCACACACTCCGATGGTGACACTTTGGCATGACGCTGGCCACCAGAGATCCCGACTTCTCCCTCAGGGACAGCATCGTGTCCAACCCAGGGTTTTCTTTCCACTATTTCCGAGGAGAGCAAATGTCCCGTTTCTTTCTTGTGGGTCCTTTTGTGCAAAATCGTTTTGTTATTTTTTAGCCCCCGAAGCCAACTCCTCCTCAGCAGGAAACAGAAGACGAGCGGCAGTTCCGGGCTCTGTTCCAACAAATTGCTGGCGAGGTAGGACAGAGCCGCCTTGGTTTCCCCAGGCCAAGGGCCAGGCCTAGCTTCCCACAAGCAGACGGTGGTCACGGGCCTCTCTGCGGCCTGGTGAGGCCAGCCCTGGTCACTGGAGACCCGAACACCAGCTTGTCCAGAGGGCACCTCTTGGTGGGTTAACCAGCCTGGAGCCTCTGAGGCAGATCACAAAGCCCTGAAGAGGCGGCTCCTAGAAATCGCTGCCAGAAAATGCTCTCTGCTCCATGCTATTCAAGGATGCACTGTCGTGAGCTCTGCCCTGCAAGACAGGGCAGCAAGTTCCCAGGAACAAAGCATTTCCACCCATTAACACCTGAGAGGTTTCCAGGATTGGCAGGCCAGGGCTGGAACCGGACACAGGGCACTGAGGAAGGTCAGAACATCTGGGCCCCAGTTCCTGTCCTCGGTCCCACACTCCCTTCCCAGCGGTTGCTCAGCTTTCTCACTGCAGGCCCTGGAGTTCCTGGGGGAACCTAGGTGAATCTTCATACAGCTCCCATGTCTTCTTCCCTCCACTGGAAACTGTCCCCTCGGGTCAAAGGAGCTGATGGACTAATTCATGTCACGTGCCGAGCCCTGTATTAGCTTGCTCTCTTCTCCCTGGGCAATGCAGGTCCTGGAGTAAAGAGTAGGGCAAAGGCCTCGGGCACCATGGGCTGGGTGGAGACAGGAGGTGTGTGCCTTTGCAGTGGGCAGAGCAGCCACCTCCCTCCAGGGCAGGGCAGAGCACTGGCAGGGGGTGGGAGTGAGGGCAAAACCCCAGGTGCCCTCAGGAGGATGCTGCAGGTGAGGCGTCAGAGCCGGCTCCGTGGGCTCTGAGCCTCTGAGGAGGTGCACAGGACAGGGACGGAAGTTGCTAGAGATGGAGATGCGGGGTTGAAGATCCCTGGGAAGGGACATGGGAGGTGTGTGCAAGAAGTCCACTCAGCTGTATCAACAAGAAACGCAGTCTGCTCTTTCCCCCACACTCATGGCCTGGCACCTGGCTCCGCCTCTCTTTCCCCTGTTTGTTGTGGGTGCAACACTGCACTCTCTCACCAAACATCCCAAAGCCCCACTCCCCAGGCCCAAAGTGTCCGGGGCAGAATGTAGTCAGCACACACCACAGTGCTGTGTTCCGCACTGCCAGTTCAACAGCCAGCAGTGAGGAGCCTGATGGCGGAGCTACGCGGACCTCAGGTGCATAAAAACCATCTAAGCATCCTGGGAAAACCGAGGATCCTCTTCCACTGGCCGGAGGCAGAAATGTGTTTCTAACACACTCCTGCTGTGTGGAGTGTGTTAGAATTTAGTGGGGTGCCTTAGATTGATGGTTCTGAAATCCACCCCTAAGGATTTTTAAAATACTCAGTGAGTCACTTCCAACTGGAGTGCTCCTGGGGTTAGGCCCAGAGGTGGGGACTGTTTAGGGCTCTCCAGATGTGGCCTGCCAGACAGAGGTGTGGGGACTACACTGGCTCTCCAAATGCCCACTGCGTTTTAAAAGTCATCTGAGAGCTTTGCAAACCAATCCCCGAGTCCTCAGGGAAGGAGGGCAGCACTCTGCCCGGTTCCCTGACCCTCTCTGGGTGGGGTCCTCTCCAGGGCTGGTCGGGCTTCCAAGTAGCTAGTGGGTTGCATCTGCTGAGGATGTGGGCAGTTGCCTGCTGGAGCCAAGCAAGCTTAGAACTGGCAGGAGCCATAAAGAGCAATTTTCTCTACCTCACAGGACATGGAGGTGACAGCCGAGGAGCTGCAGTATGTTTTAAATACCGTGCTACAAAACAGTAAGTACCACCCCCCCTGGGGGCCTGCGCTCCCATGGAGGGGCGGTGGAGACCATGCTGGGTGCCTCCAGCTCCTCCAGGCTCTCTGCTCCTTGGAGCTTCAGACCCACTTCCCAGGGCTGGCTTGCGGGTAGACTTCAGAAATACCTCTCAGTGTTTACCTCCTGATTACAAAAATGGTGCAGGTGTATGGCAGAAAATTCTAAAAAACGATACAGAAAAGTCTGATGAAGATGAAAATCACCAAAAACCTCACCACCCATAAATAACCACTGTTACCATATGTGTGCATGTGTGTACATGTGTTCTTTGTGTTGCCTCTGTGTACCCGGGATCAGTTTAGAACATTTTCAGCACTAGCCATTTCTCCCCTACTTCCCCAGCTTCCTGTCTCTGTGGATTCGCCCGTTCTGAACATTTCATATGGCAGGGAACATGCAATGTGTGGTCCTTTTCATAGGCTCCTTTCACTTAGCACAGCATCTCCAAGGTTCATCCCTGAATGTTGTTCAGAGATGTGCCGTGCTCCACTCCCTTCTGTGGCTGGAAAATCCCCTCTGGTGTCGATAGACCCCACTTTGTGTATTCCTTTGTCTGTGGAGGGACATCTGTGCTGTTGGCGTTTGGGGGTGGTATCTGTGGGCATACATTTTCATTTACCTTGGGCATATGGTTCGGAGGACAGTCAAGAGGCATGGTAACTCTGTGCATCGTGTTTTAAGGTACTGCCCAGACATATTCCAGAGTGCCTGTTTTGCATTTCCACCAGCAGTGTACAAATGCGCAAATTTCTCCAGCGACTTCAAATCCTGCCTTAAAAACTTCTACGAGCAGGCCACTAAAAAATGTGCTTCAGAAGCAGAATCCTAAGGACTGTGTATGATGTGGACACAGCCTAATTTATTGACGATAACTCTTGCATTTATTGTCTACATTTCTAAGTTGTCTGCCGTCATAAATAATCTGGTGATGAAAATCTTCATGTGTACTCTGTGCTCAGAATTCTTAAAACCAGAACAAACACATGGCACCTTCCATCTCGAAGGCTCTTTTCACATGTTACAAATGTTCCTTCTGAAGAGCCAACTTTTATTCTCACCAGCATGGTAAGAGAATGTCAGCAGACACCATGGCTCACGCCTGTAATCCCAGCTACTTGGGAGGCTGAGAACGGAGAGGGGGATCACAGTCAGAGACCAGCCCAGGCAAATAGTTCATGTGACCCCATCTCCAAAATAAACCAGTGCACAATGGACTGGAGGTGTGGCTGAAGCAGTAGAGCACAAAGCCTTGAGCACAAAGCCCAGCTCCCAACAGAAGGGGCCATGAGTTTGGCAGCTTGGGGGGGGGGGTCTCTGAATTCAGTTTTCCCTGTGATTGCAGGGCAGACTCTGAAGTTCAAGATGCTGAGCTTGCAGTCCTGCAGAAATATCATTTCCCTGATGGATGTATCCTTCCCCACCAGGTGGGGACACGAGGCTGAGGGGGTGTCTGTAGAGCACTTTCAGACAGTGTATTTTCGTCACAGGAAATACACAAAACCCAGGGGCCTGGTTCTGGAATTGGTCAGAATCGGGACACACAGGACTGGCCATGAGGAAGGGATATCTCAAGTGACAAGAGAATGACAAGTTCTGCTTTGTGCTTTGGGAACCTACAAGCCATCACCCTATCTCACTGTCTTCAGAGGTTATGGTTCAGTCATTCCAAGGGCCCTGAATCTTTCACCCATGCCACCAGGCCAGCCACCACCCTCCCCCAGAAGGCAGAGCTGGGGTTCTACAAGGAGCCTGGGTTGAAGAGGCCACAAACACTACCTTAACACACATGGCCAGACCAGCGGCAACGGGAAGCTGGAGTTCAGTGAATTCCGGGTGTTCTGGGACAAGCTGAAGCAGTGGACGGTAAGTGAACTGCACAGACACCAAGGCTAGCACAGAGTGGGGCACAGGCCAAGGCTGGGTGGTCCTGGGAGGGGAGAGAAGATGTTGTGGAAGCACTAAAACACTTCCCAAATAAGGGAGAAAAGAGGACCGAGGGGCAGTGGTGTGATTCAGTGGCCAGCGCTTGCCTAGCAGCCTAGACCCTGAGTTCAACTCCAGCACAGCAAAAAAGAAAGAAGGAGGTCCCAGTCCAACCTTGCCTCTCCAGTCTCCTGGGAAGGCTGCCACTGGTCACTGCTGACCACACCGTCCCCCAGGCACTTTCTTCTCTGTGCCCCGCTCCCGTCTCTTGCAGAACCTGTTCCTTCAGTTCGACGTGGACAAGTCTGGCACCATGTCCTCCTACGAGCTGCGGACTGCACTGAAGGCCGCAGGTAAAGGAAAGCTGGGGCAGGGACTGCCTGCTGGAGGTCACTTGCCATGGGAGGGGCAGTGGACCTGTGAGCTGAGCTGATACTTCTTCTCAGAGTAGCAGGCCAGGCCTTGGCCTCACTCCAGGGCCCTGATTTTAGCCACTGTGAGCATCAGCGGATGCATTCTCTAAGAATGAATTTGGCTGGCTTCTTTCCCCCCTCCTCCTGCCCCCAGGCCTCGGCCTTGGGCCATGTCCATCTTCCAGCTGCCAGAATGAGGAGTGGCTCTTTGGTAGCAAACCACAGTGCTTCGACCCTCTAACTTATGCCTTCAGATGGTCGTAATCACAGAGGAGACAGAGCACACCCTGCCTGTGGTTTGTCCCCCTGCCACGTATGGCCCCTCCCTGGCTTTGTCAGTAGCCGACTGAGTCCAAGCCAGATTGTTCAGTGCATACCCTGCTCCCTTCCATGGAGCACGGGCTCCAGGTGGCATTTGTAACCACCCATGGATCAGTGCCACACACCCCCATTTATGAGGTGAGGCTGTGTCCTGTGCACCCAGCCGTGGCTTCAGTGGCCCCCTGCAGCCCGAGCCCAGCCTACATCACAGACAAGACTGCTGCAGCCTGTCCTGAGGGAACCACACATCTGGATGTGCGCCTGGCTTCTCCATCTGATAAGGGGGCCGAGTGCGGCAAGCAGGACCTCACTAGGTCCTTTGAGAAGGAGAGGGGGACAAAAAGAAGAGTTGTAAATGTGGGAAGTTCCACAGCTGAGAAGGTGCCTGGAATTCTTAGGGTCTAGTGACCCTGTTTCCAGGGCAGGAGGGACTGAGCAGGAGACAAGGGGTCTCTTCAGAGAGGAGGCATGGTGGAGGATGGGCTGTCATAGCCCCACTCCTTCGGTGCCATGGATGCAGGCGCGAGGGCTCCAAGCATAGCTGTGGCCAGCACCCTTGTGCAGACTCCTGGGCACTGTGCCTGGCTGGCCTCGGCCTCTGGCTGGAGCTGGAAGAGACAAGAGGATCCCAGGTAGACTTCCAAACAATCCCATGAGTGCGTGGACAAGGCCTGTGCCCTGAGATCAAGTTGAGAAACAATGCCACAGACCCTGAATAGAAAGCAAAACGGTACGTGTCAGACCCGGAAGGAACTCTGCCTTATCTAAACCCCTCATTTGACAAATGAGGACACCAAAGCCCAGACTACTGAAGCCTGAGAGGCAGCAGGACTCAGCCGGCCCCTGGAGCAGCCCAGCGCCCTCCCCCAGCACGGGTGTGTGGGAATAAGTGGCCAGTACAGACACAGCCCTCACTGTGGGGTGAGCTGCATCGCTGGAGAGGTTTTCTCCAGGGTCCCGATACCTTTGGGTCAAAATGCCCTTGGGAAATACTCACTTATTCCAGGTACCCAGCCCTGGAATCCCCAGGCCCGTGCAGGCAGAAGTGAGCTCAGAGCAAAGGCTAGTGCAGGAGCTGGACTGGGACTTGCACACACCCCCAGGCTACATCCCCTCTGTGAGCTTTAAGACAGCAGACCTAAGGGTGACACCGGCATCCTAAACGACCTCCATAAACTCACTAAACTCAGACATGACATCTCAAATCAGATGCTCCCCTGTGCAACACAGACACACGCTCGCCCCACCCACACCAGGCCAGGCCCCTCTACGGGGTGATCACTGGCTTCTTTCATTAGCTTGCCCCTTGGTGCCCTGGGAGTCCTGTAGCTGTGGACTCACTGAGGCTCAGCTGTGGCAGCCCTGGCTCTCCTGTTCCCTCTCCCCAGGCTTTCAGCTCAGCAGCCACCTCCTGCAGCTGGTTGTGCTCAGGTATGCAAACGAGGAGCTCCAGCTGGACTTTGATGACTTCCTCAACTGCCTGGTCCGGCTGGAAAATGCAAGCCGTGAGTATCCTTGACCCAAGGCAGTCCACCTAGGGTGTCTTCAGTCACCCACCAAAAGCACATCAGGAAATAACCTGGCTGGGCTGGCAGAGAGGCTCAAGTGGTACAACACCTGTGTGTCAAACTCAGAACTGAGGCCCTGAGTTCAAGCCCCAGTATCACAAAAAAAAAAAAAAAAGAAGCAACCTGGTGACAGAGAACAAAGCCAGACCCCACAGGCCAGACGGGTGTGTCTGGGTGCTCAGCTGAGGGGTGCAACGCGGGAGTCTGTCTTGACATCACATTCTTTACCTCTTTGTGGTCTTTATGGAAGATGATGGATGGGGCAGGGCTCAGGCTTCCCGTCTAAAGAAAAGTCTGCTTCAGGTCAGGCCCATCACAGTGTACAGAACTGAAGAATCAGTCCGTCTTCCCAAGACCCTAGATATGCATCCAGCTATCGCAAGCAGGATTGTTACACCAAGGAGGGAGGGAGATGGTGGCTAGGTGCTCAACAGAGGCTGTGGTTCACTATGGTACCCAACCCTTCACAGGATGGTATGAAGGGAGGCTGGACATGTCCAGGGTGTCTCAAGTCCATCTGTCCCTCCAAGTGAAAGGAACCCGTGTCCCTGTGGCCCTTGTGTTTGGTTAGATGCTCTGGTGTCACCATGTTGAAAACCTTGACTTTTGTTGCTGCTGTTTTGAGACAGTGTCTCTAGTGTCTCTCTAGGTAGCCCCGGCTGACCTGGGACTCACTGTCCTCCTGCCTCAGCATCCCAACTGTTAGGATTACAGATGTATGCCACCATGGCCAACTCTGAAAGTCTTGATTTTTGAACAAGGGGCCCCATTTTTTTTCTTTCTTCATGGGGCTCACAGATGATCTATGTGGTTCTAACGTCACTTGCCAAAATTTGCTTGCTAAGGGACCTGATGGCAACAGATAAAACAAAGCAGGGTCTTGTGGCATGGTGGGTGACAAAACACTGTGACAATGTGCTTGATGCTTCTCTGCTTTACTCCATGAGCTCAGGGAGAGCTGTACCTAGTGAGGAATCAATGAATGAATATGTACATGTTAACTAGTGACCAGAAAGGCCAGGAGGGTGGTGACCCAGTCCAAAGGCCCCAGATGTCAGTCAGAAGGCCACACTTCTCCAGGTGGTCACCAATGGCTGAGGGGAAGATGACTCCCCAAAGCCCTTCCAGAAAAAGGATGCTTATTAGACTTGTAGGGTCGTCGAAACTGACCCTAGAAATGAGCAGTGTGGTAACCTCTGTAGCTCGGCCTCTCTTCCCCATCTCGGTCCCTCAGGCTTCATGCTTCCCAGCGTGGGGTCTCAGCATGCTCCTCCAATGGAGGATTCAGGGAGAAGGCCCTTAGGGTCACACCGCTGCTGGGGGCCCTCACATCAGCCGGATCATCTCAGGAACTTCTGAAATGCCAAGGCTTTGCCCTAGCGTCATGTCCACTTTTTTTCCTAGAAATGTGACTATGAAGGAGAACAGGTTCCCACACACCCCACACAGTACTTCTCAAACTCTGCTACACATCACAGCCCTGGGGGAGCTTTAAAATTGTGATGATGGGGGGCTGGGGTGCAGCTCAGTGGTGCTTGAGTAGATGCTCAAGGTCCTGGGTTCCATCTCCAGCGTGGGGGTGGGGGGTGGAAAGGGGAGGGAGAGAGAGCTGTGATGATCCGGTTAGACTCTCGAAGGGTGGCACTCAGCATCAGGATCCATGAGAATCCCCTATGGGCTTCTGGCACTTTCCACCCAGCCTCAGAATTGTCAATTTACTATTTTTTCCCTGTTCCCCCAATGCGTATTTTTCTCCATGAATTGCTTATTTGTTAATCCTGTCCTTCCTTCTAAGTATCTCTGGATGGTTTTAGCATCATCACCACGTTGTTGGTCCCTAGCAAAGCTCTTTTCACTCTATGCTGAAAAGTCCAGGTCACCTTCTAATGCTGCTTGGTAGACTCGGGGGTCTGAACAAGGCTCACGTCTTTTTTCTCTTTTTTGCATTTGTTATTGGGTCTCTTTTGTCTCTTTTGCTCCATGACAGTCCCTCCTCCCCCATTGACTGACTGGCTCCACTCTTCTTGAGGTGAGAGACTGAGGACCAGAGAGGACATGAGGTAGACCCTGGCCAGCTGGCCTGGCTCTGCCTCCCAGGCTCAGCTCCTCCTACCTGGTGACTGTGCCCACAGCCCTTCCACGAGGGACTCGCACACAAAAGAACAGCTTCCAGGCTTGGGCAGAGCTTTACAACACACGTGTGCTTTATTTGTAGGGGGTCTGTGGATTTCAAGGATCTGTAACGCCAGAAAGTTAAGACAGGAGATGTTTTTTATCTGGGAGCTGACCAGCCAACTGGCACAGGGCAGATGACAGCACTGGCTGCTGGCTTGTGGCAGGAATTAAAGGCCCTTCAGTGGCCCAGGCCTGTGCCAGAAAAATCCCTGATTTCCAAGAGCTGGCATGTGCTTCCCAGACCACATGGTCACTGGGAACACCTTAATCCTGCTACCTGGACAGTCTCCACAGTGATGCTTTTCTCTCTGTCCCACCAGGGGTGTTCCAGGCTCTCAGTACAGAACACAAGGACTTCATCCATCTCAACATAAACGAGGTATGGCCACGCTGGATCTTTGGCTCAGGGCCCCAGCCAGGGCCCAGCACAGAGCACACATCGCCTGGAGGCACAATATCAGGAGTGCTGGCACCCAGCCATGTGTGATTTCAGTACGGGAGCTGATGTTTCAGGGGAACTTTCCTCACGACAATTGGCTTAACCATTACAACAACCCTAACTGCAGTAATCCTATGAGCTAGGTGCCCATCGTAGCTCCATTTCACAGAGGTGGACACTGAGGCACAGAGCCATTCATCACCTTGAGTGGCACTTCTTGTGCCAGCTCCTCCTCCTCCTCCGCTTGCCTTCCAGCATGCAATCCGTCTTGCCCCTTCTTCAGGTCCTCCTGTGCATGGAGGGGTGCTTGTTCTTTCACACACCTCCAAAGTGGACAAACACAAGATTTCAATGGTTTGGGAGTAATCACAATGATGATGAGGGAGTTGGGAGAGCAGGTATAGCCAAGTGGGGGCGCCATGTCTTAAGGTTCCTTTCCTGGAGTAATGATAGTTGATTCAGGCTGAGCAGTCCAGAAGTCACTCTGCTACAAGAGCCCAGGCTTCTTTATCTCCCTGGCCTCTGTTTGTGCTGCACCTAGGAAGGCAGGCAGGGATGAGAGAAAGCACCCCATGCACCCTTGCCACACTAACGTGTGATGGAAACTCACTCACAAAGGCTTGAGGCCACCGGAGAACTGGAAGTGCTGAGAATTAGTTTTTGTTATTTTTTTTTTAATGACTTCATGATGAGGCAGACAGTCCAAGTTTGTGGGCATTGATCAGAAGCAGAGCCCCTGTACATAAGCCAGCTGGGCCACTCCTGAGGCTGGCTGAGACTCAGAGGTTCAAAGCCTTCACCTCTCTCTCTTTCTTTTCAGTTCATCAACTTGACAATGAATATTTGAGGCTCCCTGGCGGGGATGCTGCCCGTCCAACCGAGTCTCAACTTTTGGACCACAAACCTCAGAACTTCTGGTGCACAGCCGGCAGGCCCACAGCTCTCTCCCTGCCTTATGCAGTCCTGCTCCCTACCTACCTTGATCTGCAAGAATCAAATGGAGTTGGCTACATTCTCTGATTTTGGGCTGCTTCTTTGTAAAGCCACTGCCTAAAGAGGGCTGATGGTACCACCTATGCCTATGTCCAGGACTGGGCAGGGCCAGCCAGCATTTCCTCCCTCCCCTGTCCCTCTGCCACCCATGGGTAATGACTCAAAGTTCAAGTGCTCAGAATTCTAGCTCCATCATACTGGGACGTCCTCTGTAAAACGATGCCTCTGTAACTGTGCATGTGTGTGAGAGCGGAAAGGTGTGAGGTCACACTGAGCACTGGGGGGACAGCAGGTAATTCCCAACACTCTCCAACAAGAGTGGATCACCGTGAAAATCCCTGCACCCTTTGCTGGGAGCTGAGACAGCCTCTGTCCAGCACAGATATTCATTGTGTCAAAAGCCTTTGGGTCAGAAAAGACCAAATGCTGGGTTACTTCTTCCAGAATCTGGTCAGATCTGATTTTATTCATCCCCACTCTGAATGGAAAAGCCTTGCTACAGACCAGAAATCCCGCTGAACTGGAGTACCGAGAACTACCGTAAGATATTGCCTCAAAAAATGATAGGTCTAGATTGGGGGTGTCTCCACTCTCCCCCAAAATAGTGATACACATTTTCTTTTTCAAAATCACAAGAAACATTGTCCAGGTTAAACCAAATAGTAGGCCATAAATCTAACTTCATATATTTAAGTCTTCAGATTATGTTCTCCAGCCGCAAAGGAAATTAAATTAGAAATAGATGAAGCAAGAAATTTGGGGAATCCTCAATTGTTTTTTAGAAATTAACACATTTCTTAAATGACCCAAGCATTGTATGCACATATGAATAATAAAAAATAAATAAATAAAAAGAAATTAACATATTTCTTAAAAACCCATGAGTTAGAGGGAGAAAAAAATCCCAATGAAAATTAGGAATACTTTCAACTGAACAGAACAAAAACCCAACACACTAAAAATAATGGATCAGGGCTAATGTAAAAAGGCAGAAAGTTCTCAAATTGATAATTTAAGCTCCCATCTTAAGAAGAAAGAGATTAGACCCAAGAAGGTCAAAGGAAGAGTAAAGATCAGAGCAGAAGTAAGTTAACTAGAAAATGGGAGTACAACAGAGAAAGTCAAAGAAATGAGAGTTGGTTCTAAGAAAAGCTCAGCAAAAGAAGGAATTTTAATTACCACAATTGGGAAGTAAGGGGAAGTCATGCTGAGCTACAGAAATCAGAACGAGTGTCAGGAGCAACTCTATGACAACTGAAGTAGACAACTTAGGTGAGATGGACAAATTCCTAGAAGCAAGTTACCAAAGCCAACTGGAGGAAACTGAAAATCCGCATAGCCTACCACAAAGAAGCCGAATAGTAGCTTATGCGTCTTCCCATAAAGCAAAGCACAGGCCCAGACACTGCACTGGTGAATCCTGTTTATACTTAAAGAAAAAGCTCACACACCCATTCAGAACACAGGAAGAGAGGGCTGTCCAGCTCCCCTACGAGGCTAGTGCTGTAGCAGAGCCAAGGACATAAGACAAGACGACAGACTGACGGATGTCCTCACACTGCAATGATGCTTCACAAAATAGTAGCAAACCAAACCTGGTGGCATGGAGAAAAGATTGCCCACCACAAACAAACAGCTTATCTCAGGAGTGCAAGATTGGGTTACATTCAAAATCGGTGACTGTAACACATGAACAGAAAAAAGGACAAAAACTTCATGGGCCTGGATAGATGCAGAAAAAACATCCAGCGAAATCCGACTCCACTTATGGCTGAAACTCTTCTGAAAGACTGAAAGGAAGCTTCCTTCCTCTTGCACCTTCCTTCCTTCCTTCCTTCCTTCCTTCTTCCTTCCTTCTTCCTTCCTTCCTTCTTCCTTCCTTCTGTCCTTCCTTCCTTCCTTCTTCCTTCCTTCCTTCTTCCTTCCTTCTGTCCTTTCTTCCTTCCTTCCTTCCTTCCTTCTGTCCTTTCTTCCTTCCTTCCTTCCTTCTGTCCTTTCTTCCTTCCTTCCTTCTTCCTTCCTTCCTTCTTCCTTCCTTCCTTCCTTCTGTCCTTTCTTCCTTCCTTCCTTCTTCCTTCCTTCTGTCCTTTCTTCCTTCCTTCCTTCTGTCCTTTCTTCCTTCCTTCCTTCTTCCTTCCTTCCTTCTTCCTTCCTTCCTTCTTCCTTCCTTCTGTCCTTTCTTCCTTCCTTCCTTCTGTCCTTTCTTCCTTCCTTCCTTCTTC